CTCAGTTATCTCAAAAGGCCTTATAAAACTATTGGGAGCAGAAGTTGATAAAAATAAAAAACCATCTGTTAAATGGCATAACAATTCCTTAGAGTCTTCAGGCATATCTTATAATATTTCGATTATGGTTGGTCAGGGAGAAAATAGTTGTACAATCTCTGAAGACTTTCTAGTCATAGATGATAATAAGTCCTGGATATTATTAGGTACACCTTGGCTTGATCGAGCAGGATGAGAACCTATTGTTAAGTGTAAATTCAAGTTAATGTATAAAAATAAAGTAATTACTGTACCTCTTTCAGTTCATAAGTCCCACTCTTCTCTCATAAGTTCAAAAAGAGAAGGCGGGCCAAAAATCAATCTGACTTTGGAAAAAAAAACCTATAAGTTATAACAAACTTGAAAAAATGTTATTTGATACTCTCAATGCTAAAGAGATCCTTAATGAGGTATGTGAGAAGTTTTTATCATTCTATGATGAGCTGGATTATTTACTTAGCTAGTATATGCAGATATTTGGCTATATTTTTTTTATCACAAATGGCTTCTTTTTCATAAAATATATTTAGATCTCTATCTTCTCGTGATAAATTACTTGAAGGATTCTTAAAAGCCGGCTCAGCCAAAATCTGATCATTAAGATTAAATTTTTCTTTTTTTGAATCACTACTGCCTTCTCGCAATACTCCCTTAAAGGGAGCAACTAAATGAACACTTTTTTTCTTTTTTCGAGCTCGTGCGAAAAAAGTAAATTAAATGAATAAATCGGTTGATCCCAGGCAACTCTATTTTTTTCCTCGCCTCTCCAGATCTGATAAATACGTTTTTGTGATATGCTATATTTTTCTTTTAACTCATTTAAAACTTTAGACCTTGGCCTATCATTACGGCATTGCATAATAAAATCATAATCAGCTAGTGATAAAGAAGGAGCATCACATCTTATGCGTTGCCTAAGCATAATAGTATTTTTTTTATATCTAATATATTATTTCAAAATAATTTATTAAATAGAATATATATATTATATTGAATATACTAAATATACAGGATATATCGGATATACAGGAAAAAGTTTTTAGAAAAAACTAGATAAATAGGATATATATATTATACTGGATATACTGGATATACCAGATATAGCAATTATACAGGAAAAAAATTTCGGATAAACCGGATAAATAAAATATATAGGAGGTTCCAACCCGCCTTCTCGTGATAAATCACTTGAAGCCAGAATTGATTTGTTATCCAAATTTTCTCTTTTCGAATTTATATATATATTTTTTATTCTATCTGTCAATTCTATCCAAGTTTTTAAAGTTATGGGATTTGGTCTAGACTCTACGTCTTCCGAGGACGGCGCATGCAATGAAGTGGTCATAAAGCTATCTGTCGAGAAAACTGTTAACTTTTCTAGATCTTGCTGTTCAAGCTCTCGTATAGAAGCTCTTTCTGCTAAATCTAATTCAAAGACATTTTTCGTGGGTTATGATAATAACCTTGGAGGGCATTCTTATGAATCTTTGAAGCAAAGTTTTTAAAATACGAAATATTTTGGAGTATTGGATTAATAGACATATCTATTTGAGCTAGTTTATTTGTAAAAAAAAGACAGGCTCATTTATATAGTTTATTCTTTTTAACTAAACCTTTTTATATAAAAAAAAACAATTTCAGATTTGTCGATCTATTTATTTATAAATTATTTAGTATGAGACAAAAATAAATCAATTTACTATCAATCACACTTTTTTTCTAGCAAGTTCTGGGTCTGACTCTAAATCGTCTAGCTCATAATTTAGTCTATGCAATTTATCTGAGCATTATGTTGCTTAGCCAGGACACTATATCACAAGGGCACAGTAGTCATGTAGATTTTTATTCGAAATCTTATTAGAAGAAGTGTGACATTCAATGTCACAGCTAAACCAATAAAATCTGTCAAAGTTTTGGAACAGTGTTAGTTTAGTGACGTATTATATATTTTTTAAAAAAAATATATATTATTTATAGTTTTCAAAGAATTTTTCACTAGTCTAGTTTATGGCGATGAGCTAGCTAAGTGAAACATATATTTGTTTTGATACTTCTCTGGGAGCTTGGTCTTAATAGCTCTTTTTTCGGCCTCTTTATAGGGTATATCATCCTTGACCATATTTTTATAAACTTTATTACGCCAATGGAAATATGGCAAAGAAGTAATTCCATCTGATAGAATCCAGCGCTTAGTATCTATTGGGCATAGAGCCTTCTTTTCTAATTCGACCAAAGATAATATATGATCCTTTGAATGGATACCTACATTCTTAGCATGGAATACTTCCTTACTGAATAAACAGTCTTGATAAACTTGGGTCATCAGATCAAAGACTTTAGTGTTGTCTACCGGATCCGCTAGTAATGTTACACCTAAAGATGGGAAATATGTGTCGGTAGCCATTTCATTCATACCCCTTTGCTTACTCCTTTATGCTTAGACTTTGTAGACTTATCTGCTAAGACATAGTGGTATGACTTGGCCCGGGTATGATAAGATTCTGTAATTATGTTGCCTGGAGTCTCATCTTTGAAAAGCCCAATAGTCTTAGAATCATTAAGATCAAAAAAGTCTGGTCGCTCAGTCATGTCCTTATATATATCTTTAGTTTTAACTTGGAATATAAATGAGTCTGTGTCCATATATCCAAGCTGGGCTTTATTACCATATCTCTCTTTTACATATCCATACCAGAAGTGATACATCAAGAGCTTGCTAAGACCCAGAACTGATGCTCCAACAATAATGGGCTTGTTGAGGGTTACAGTGGCCTTTCCTATATGTGATCCAACAAGTGTATTTCCAAGCTGTCTGGTATATTTAAAAGAGGGTTTATGGATCTGCTTAATAAACTTCTTTTCGTCTTGATCATTGTTCACAGCCATGAGCTTGACATCTTGATATTTACGAACATTCTCCATAGTTTTGCCATATACTGAGTTATTCATGAG